AGTGGACTGAGGTTGATACAAACATGATTAACTAACTGGATGTGGTTGGTAGTTATAGATCACTTCATCCAACAGTAGCAGAACACACATTCTTTCCAAGTATTCATTAGCTGGATGTGGTGGCACATGCCTTTAATCCCAGCAGTCGGGAGGCTGAGGCAGGAGGATCGTTGCAAATTTGAGGCCAGCCTGGGCTACAAAGTAAGCTCAAGTCCAGCCTGAATTGCATAGCAAGACCCTGTCTCCAAAAGAAAAGAAAAAAAATCATCCCAAGTATTCATTAAACATTGACCAAGATGCACCATATCCTGAGTCATAAGCCAAGCCTTAATAAGTTTAAGAGTATTGCCTACTCCCATTTAGAATTCAGGCCAGAGTGGGAACACATAGTGCTTAGAGTGGAATGCTTGAGTAGTAAGAAAGCCAAAGTTGAGATCAAGGTAATGAAGAAATCAGAAGCAAAATAAGACAATATGTCAGGAACAGCCCAGAGCAATGGGACCAATCAAGTGTGCATTAAGAGGAAGGTGCTCTCAATATATATGTCTTGCCAAAATTCAGATGTAACACCTTATCACCAAGGAGATGGTATTAAGAGGTAGGGACTTTGTAAAGTGACCATGTCATGAGGATGGAGCCCTCATGAATGGGATCAGGAGGAAGAGACCTCAGAAAGCGAGCGAGTCCTCCCACCACGTGAGGATGCGGTGAAAAGTACCACTCATGAACTAGGAAGCAATCCCTTCCCGGACACAGAATCAACCATTATCTTGAGCTTGGAATTCCTAGCCACCAGAACTGTGAGAAATAAATTTCTATTGTCTACAAAAAAATTTAAAGTACTAAAATCATACAGTTTGTGGTTTGAACATAATGGAATATTAAAAATCAATAGAAAGATAATAGAAAATGTACTAATATTATACAGTACACTATCAGAGTTATCTTTCCTTTATTTATTTTCCAGTACTGGGACTGAATCCAGGGCCTCATATGTGAGGCAAACACTCTACCACGGAGTTACCTCCAGGTCATTTCCTATTTTGAGACAGTCTCACTGAGTTGCCCAGGGTGGTTTCAAATTTGGTGATCCTTTTTGCCTCAGCCTCCTAGAATGCTGGGATTATAGACATGTACTACCATGTACTACCAGCAATATAATGTTATTGAAATGAGAAAGTATAAAGTATAAAGATGAAAAAAAAAAGTATAAAGATGGAGAACAGCACATCTTGGTAACACAGGCATGTAATCCCAGCACTCAGGAGGCTGAAGCAGGTTTGCTGTGAGTTCAAGGCCAGCCTGGGCTACAAAGTGATTCCAGTCCAATCTAAACTATATAGGAGTGCTCGCTTCGGCAGCACATATACTAAACTATATAGGAAAGGGGCTGGGGATATAGCTCAGCGGCACAAGTGCCTGCCTGGCAAGTG